CAAAGGCGGGGTCACTATGGTAGAGTCGTGGATTTTGGTGATATATCTGCTCATGACGAGAAACATTCTAGTTCATTTGGAGCTGATGATTTTGCAAACATGGAAAATACAGTCCAAGTCATATTTGATGATCGCCTATGAAGCATCCCAGCCACGAGTAGCAAGGGCTGTTCTTCCAGGTTTTACGCTCAAGAGGCAAAGTCTGCCTTATATAGAGCCCAGCCTTGTCGAACTTGCAGCCATGGAGGTCAATTATTATCTTTTTGATTAATTTTATATTCCTGGCATGATCAGCAAACTTGCTTATAGGATTTCACAGGAATATCAGAATGTGAAATTTATGCATCCTTCAATCGATGATAATTGTTTATTTCTTACCTAGTCCCATCATTGCCTCTCTTTGCAAACCTCACATAAGCGAGTCATGGAATGTATACGATGTCTGTTAAGGTCTGATGAAGCATTGAGACTTCTTCAGCTTCTTCAACAATATCATGTGACTCAATTAACCCATAGTCTAGATCAAGCTCAACACCAGCAACTAGCCCAACTCAATTTTCACCAACTTGTTTGTTTTGGTGAAGGAGAGAAAATTGCTACTCAACTTATAGCTGCTCTCATGGGGGAGGTGCTTGAAATATCTGAATATTTTCCAATATGATCTTTATGTCATGAGCCGTATTACATTACTACATATAGGATATTTTTTGATCTACTTGTTGATCACTGGACATTCCTGTGTTGTTCTCTGCAGTATTACATTGCACCAAATGGCAAAGGCATAGTGGATGATGTCAACAAAAAGCTAAGGGAGGGCTGTCCAAGTTACTATAATGAGTCTGACTACCATTTTTATTCAGCTATTGAAGCCTTAAAAAGAGCAGCAAGCACTTCTAATGTTGAAGAGAGGGATGGGCTGGCCAAGGATGCTTTGGACCTTCTCAGCAGAGTTCCTGAAACTGCTAACCTTCTGAGTGTCTGCCAGCACTTTGAGGACATTCAATATTCTTCTCTATGTAATGTCCTATGCAATCATTGAAATTTGGTTACTATGTGTGAGAATTGAAGTTGTGTGCACAGCAATTATGGAAGTCCAAGTGCACCTACTTTTTGTTTTATTAGTGGAGATCCTTTTGTTTAGTTTCTTCATCTTCAACAAAGCTGTTTTTCTTATAGCATCTTTCATTTGTTTTTTTGTAACTTCTATAAGGCCATGGTAGACCTGCCATTAAAAAAAGCTTGTGCTATAGACCTTTTGAGGATGCATTTAATGGAAGTATCAAAGAAGAAAAATGTCAAGTAGCTTTAACAACTAGATGACAATGTTATGATGTAAGAACAAATGCACTTCAAGCCTTCAAGGGCCAAACAACCATAGATAATAGAAGCTCAAAGATTTCACTTCTACCTTTGTGCATGGAGCTATATTAATATTGATGAAACAATAAGAGAGAATTGTATTTAACAAATCGTACAACTTAGTGTCCAATGGCTTGACAATGTTTTCTACAAATATTTGTACCAAATTATGATTGAATTGGGGTTTACACAAGAAATTTTAGATCTTGGGGATCTTAACTTCATTAAGTTTTTAAAAAATGCTAGCAATTATCATTTCATAAAGGTGCCAATTATCTTATCAATTGATATGGTGTTTTTATGTGTCAACTAATCTTTTGTTGAGGTCAATATATTCTTATGTAGGATTTTGCAGGTTGCCTCAAATTCATATTTGTATTAATATATAAGGTAATTTTTTTATTTTAATGATCTCTTTATTATGGTATTATATATATTAGGAAATTCAGGTATACATGGATACATTTAAGTAATTAATATCTTCAATAACATCAAATATAAATATCTTATGGCAACCAATTTCAAAGGAGTAAGCTAAGTATTTGGAATTGTTATCTTGTTTCTATATCTAAAGACGATAACATGCATAGGGTGCTCATATATTATTGCAACTTGTAGAGCATAGACAACTAGAAGGTACTTTAGAAGTCTTACTTGATAAAAGGTATGCTTTTTTATCTTATATTGACTAAATTCCTAGACAATGATCTTAAGCGAGATTCTTATTGGATCTTTCTTTTGTTAAAAGCTAGAAGCTAGTATGTAAATTATGATTATTTGCTATATATATATATAAATATCTCACTAATATGATACTGCAAGTATGGACTAGAATTAGAGCTCCTAAAGATCTTGGTCTATCTTCAGAGTTTTTTGACACTTGCTTAATAGAACTTCTAGAAAGTAAGCTTGCAGTTTTATAATTTTAGGTAAAATTTAAGAAAGCTTTGGACTATTTAGTATCAAAAGCTTCATTTGATTAAAAAAGGATTATGACTATGGAGGAGGATGGTTTTTCTTATTCCATAACCTTTTTAGGCATTGATAAATATGAAGCTTGTTTTACAAGAGAAAAACTTGAGAAACTTGGTGTTGAATTTAAGAACATTGTTCAACTATATAACAACTATAATATACAATTTAAGCTTTTGGAGGCAAGTTCATGTTATAAACTATTAAATCTTTATAATCTTGTGTAATTGGACTCATTGTTCAATATAGAAATTGGAGCATTTTGGACCTTTGAATTGGAGAGTACTTATATCAATTCTCTTTCTTATCTTTCTTTGAAACACACACATGTACAAATTCTTCTATTTAAGTATTTTTTTGATTTTATATATATTTTTGGATTAGATTACATTAATGTAAATAAATATCTAAAAATTACTAGACTCATTGCTTACACTAAGCTATGTTATATATATAATGGTATAAATCAAAAATAGTTAATTGATTGTTGTTACTATTTTGGAGTGAGCAACATGGGAATTTTTTTTCTACTAATATGACAAATAATATGCTTATCCATTTGCAATATATATAGTAATCTTGTGGCTCACATGTTTGTTTAGAAATATTACACTTTTCAAATTATAGTAGAAAAACTAAAAAATAATATTATGCAAGAAACATAGACATGTTTACTTAATCAAGCTTTAGTAGTAGGTAGAGTGGCTTTGTTTTACAAAGAGTAGGCCATCTATTATATCCTAGTCATAGAAGGAGCATGCTTCTTCATACAATTTGCCTACATTTAAAAACTTTGGCTCATGTGTGTTGTTATTCCATCTCTGAGAAATGTTAGAATTCCTATTTATTGAAATAGGATGTTTTGCTAATGTCATCATTGAAAATCAGCATAAAGCCTATATTATTGAAATAAGTAATCACCTTCTAAGTTAATATCTAAATTATTTTTTTATACACTTGTTCCATTATCTTTATCCAAATTCTTTGCTGGCGTATCTACCTATCTCGATTTGAATCATATTTTGATAAACATTATATGCAATATGGTGAATTTTTTTTTAATTTCTTAAAAAAGTCCAATATATCCATGATATCTATTAGTGACCCATTGGTCAGATTAAATTGCATAATTATTACTCACGTATTTTTTTAGATTGACTATAATATAATAGGAGAAAACAAAGACTAGAATAGAAGTGGTAAGAGATGAAGATATCTCGCATGCATTGTTGGCTACTTGTAAAGATGCTATTGAATTTATATAGCATAGCTATGATCCCATACTTACTAATAGAATGATATTACCAAAACTTTCTTTGAGACTTTAGATTCTTTGTTTTGTATTCATTGTAATGCAGGAATGGACTTTGATTATACTTTCTATTCTCATGGGTTTTGGTGTAGTTGGAGACTTTCTTCTATTTGGTAATGGTCACCAAGCTCTTAGCAACCAAGGCATGCATGATAAGCTTGTAAGTATAGCCAATAGGTTCATTTCAATGCGATTTTTTTCATGTATTATTATTTCAAATTCATGTAGAGGTTTGTTATCTAAAATGCAAGGTTTGGTTTATTGACTTTTTCAACTTCTTCAATACAAGTCTTTATATTGTGCAATGAAAAAATAAAAGATGTTCTTCTATAAGAAGATAAAAATAGATGTATCTACTTGTAAATCATTATGTTGTTGTAATTATATTTTCTTGATGTTCAAATTGAAGGAACTTATTGATACTTTCTTCTTCTTGCAATTAGGTATGCATTGGGAAAGTTAGGTGGAATTCTTTCTAGAAATGCCTCAATATGAATGTAACCATGCAAAGGCATCAAACAATGAAAACTAAATTATAGTCTCATATTAGTCCACAATAAATGATAAATATTTAACTGTTCTAATTACATAATCACATTATTTGGCCTTAATATCTAAAATTGATTAAAATTAGAAATTTTTACATGTTGTTATACCATGTTATTACAAAGATGAGACTTGGCTTGATCATTGATATCAAGTCCAAAAGGTAAGAAAGCACAAAAGAAAATCCTCAGCAAGACAAGCAATTTTGCATATTTTATGATCTATAATGAAACTATGATATATATGTGAACTAAACTTTGGGCATTTTGGAAAGTTTCATATACAAATGAACTTGATACAAGTAGATCAACAAAAATGATAAATGTCTTAGCTAGGTTGCAAGCTTGTATTGTAAGGATTGACACTAATGTCCTAAATTTTTAGAAGATGTGGTAGGTCATTTAATAGTAATGGGTTTTTGTTGAAGAGGAGGGTTAGAAAGGAAGTTGAATGCCATAAAGTATGAAGTTTCTATAAAGAGTTGAGAAGATAGAAGTTGAAGAAATTGGTTAGTATGATAGATAATCCAAAATATTTTACAAAGTTATAATTAAAAAAATGTAAAATATTATAAACATTTGCTAAAAAATGTTTTAACATGTGAAAAAAATGTTAAATCTTATAAACATTTGCTAAAATCGTTTGGGTGGAGCATGGATGTGTAGATTTTATCAGCAACAATAGGAAGATTGAATCTGGCAAAAAAGAGACAGCTTCACCTGCAGGAAAACTTGCAATCGATTCTCGACTTAGTCCTGACTGCGGTAGTGCTTCCGCTGCATGCAAATGGGTCAGGTGATGCTGGTTCTGTTGAAGCAGGCGAGGCTGTTGTGGAAAATGATGAAGAATGTGTCGTAACAAGCGGGTGTGAATGTCTTTCACAATATTGAACATCATACAAAGCCATTGCCGAAGTATTTGCAAATCCTTCTCAATCTCAAGGGTTTTTATTATTGCCCAACGTTTTGTCCTTACACACGCTTCATCAGCTCGCAAGCTTCACCACAATTGATTTCCTGGTAAGGTGTTCATGTTCGTTTGGAGATTATTGAACTATGTTGACGTTGCTCTTGCTATCGTATTGTTGCAAATCGTGCAACGTTGGTGTAAATAGAGCGAGAAATATTAGATTCCGAACGCTGGTACGCATATTTTTGTTGGAGATGGGTTTATTTTTAGGCTTTTCTTGCCATGGACCGCAACCTCAAGAAGCACCTTTCTTGAAACATATAACTGGAAAGAGGCAAAGCTCAGCATGTTGGTTATCAATTCCCTGCACTAATTTTCGAAATGCACACTATCTGCCAGAAAGAATGTAAATCTGTTGTGCAGAAAAATGGACGTCTGAAGTAACATCCACACTGCGAAGTTCACTTGTTTTTGCTCGGAGATGAACAAATAGCCTCTCATCACTGTTTTACAACAATGCAGCGTCATTGGGAGGTAAGAATGGGGCGCGAGGAGATGGAAGGTTCGGAGAGCTTTCCTCGATCTCAACACAGACACGCAGGGATGTAGAGCACCACCTATGGCTAGCTGAGCATAGGCCCACTCTAGCTCTATTAGCTCCATCTCCACCCCACGCGAAGATGGCCCAAGAGGAAAAGATGACACGGAGGAAGGAAGATGTCGATGGCCTGAAAGCGAACACAAAGCAATATTATTCCAATCGGTGTATCGATGATTTGATCCGTTCGGGTGGAAGAGAATTCAATGACCTGTTCCGATCATTCTCGAAATTGGTTCTCACCAGAATTCTGTCTCAGATTTTTTGAGTTCATGTGTCCTACTCTACTGCATACCTTGATCTTTCATTTCAAAGCATTTCGTGGACTATGCGACAACCATTTTGATATGTTACATTTTGCGAGACGTACCTGCAGGATGTTAATCTTCAGAAGCTGCTAATCGATGCCATGGCAAAACACTTGGCCAAGAAGGAGAAGGATTTGGAGCAGAAGGATGTTCTAGTTGAGAGGGAAGGTCGGAAGCCAACCCTCGCATGGTTCAAAGTTGATAACGAGACTCGTCCCTCGAAGAATGAGCAGCACAGACGGCGCAGATGTACCAGTACAGCATCGAAGCCGCATCCACCTGAAGATAGAGGTCCTTGCAGCTGCAGAGAATGGCCACACTCCCCAAAGCAGCAAAAGATTTGCGATGGTGAGGAACACATCGATCCAGAGAAGTCTCGTGTAGAATCGATACTGCATTCGTCGGGTGGACCAAAGTAATGATGTAGCAATAGAGAGCCGCAATAGATTAATTGACATGAAAGCACTTTTATAACGCAAATCACCAATTCAAACATGTTCTATGACCTTGCATGAAAGCACGGCTATTAATAAGTGTTGCACTTGGCATTGATCTACAGTTTTCCAATACAGTAGTGTTAACATCCAGAAGTGATTAATCTTTTATAGAACACATTTAACTTTGTGAATTGCACTATAAAAGACGTCATTTCCTAAGCTGATGTAAGAACCTTTGGAAGAAGGCGTATGCAGGGATGTTGCATTGCAGATGCCTGTAATTTTACGAAAAGCCTCAGAACCGAGTCACAAGGCACAAGATCAAATCTACGACGCTGCAAAGCTGCTTGAAATTCATTTATCACAGGCATGATCCTGCATTAAAGTTCCAATCGTAGTCATAGCTGTGGCATTCTTGTGCTAGGAATTGTGAGCAGCTTTTCTTGAAGACGCGAAACATCACTTCGAAGAACCAAGAGATATAGCTGGTTCCTTTCATATCTTCGACTCCACTGATGATGATCATTCTCTCCACATCTGTTAGACTCATGTTCGAGTTTTCTGCATGATCTATTATATTTCTGCTAAAGAGTTGTTGATTCAAATTCTTAATACCTTTCTCGATGATCGACAGACTTCGTCAAGACGAGAATACAAAGCAGCAAAGCATGTGGAAGAGGACACAAACAATCTGCGAGATAAAGCGAAAGTAACCGTTCTTAAACGATGATTGAATTCTTTACAAAGATATTCAGCATACTTAAATAAAATTAAAGTCATAATTATGAAATCTGACTGTGGGATGTGTTGCGAAATTGTCAAAATACAATCGACTGGAAATCTTGTCTGAATTCTGAGGCTGGTGAACAAGAGTTTTTTGCAAAGTGTCTCATCCTCGAGGATTTAAAGGCTTTATCAGATTCTAGAATTTAAACAGGCAATGTTATGGAATTGTGAATGTGACTCACAGGCGTCCGACTATCGAAGGGTATCACAGACACAAATGAAAAGAACTCCAGACGGAGTTGAACCCCAACCTGATGGGCGGGGCGACGACTTGTCACAACTCACACGCCGTGAAGTATATGGCAAATCAAAACGAGAAATCTTTCCAACACTTAAATTTGAAGTCGAGGTATCGAAAACATCACAAGAGCATAGGAAATCTGCAGATAAAGTCGAGGTTCAACCTGACAAACCTCCTGACAACAGGAAGTTTCGAGGTGCATCCACAACGCGTAAGATACCAAAGCTGTGGCCGCCTGATGAACACTTTCGTAAAACAAAGTTAATTAGCGCAGAAGGCAACTCCGCAGCATCTACACCAAAGAGCTCACTCAATGAGTCAGAAGCCTCGTCTGACAATTCGAAACAAGAATATCTCGCAGCAGGTTGCAGGAATCGCAAGCTGGTGGAGATGCCAGCAAAGAAGCAGAGAGGCAAAACCCTTAAGAAACCCGAGTGGTGGCCGGTGACTAGACGTCCATACAGCGCATTTGAATTGAAATTGTGGCGCCGAGAACATGAGGATGCAGACAGGATAGCGAGAAAGTACTCACCCGAGGAAATGTACGCAGAACACCCCGTCAAACGTCTTCATTCACAATGTAGCCAAGGCTCACAGAAAAGAAAGACACAGGAGGTGGTGAGGCTCCAAAGCGTTCCAAAATCCATGTCCCAACATAACGATGGTAATTCCATCACCTTCATTAGTCTGATTTCATGCACTGTGTGGTAGCTTTGCTTTCTGGTATGCCCCTGGAAGGTATTGTAAGGACTCTTCGTGACAAGCTGACGCAGTGAGGGATTGATGACAGATCCATTGAGGCGGACTCTACAGAAACGAATTGCAGCAGCATTACCAACTGCAGAAACACCGAGGTTAAGCTTCAGCCGCTCATTTAAAAAATAAATAAAACATAAATGAGAATTTTAGATGAGGTTTCTGTATTTGACCTACTCGGCTTTATGGTTGTGTAGGAGGATGCATCAGAAAGTGAAGGAACATTACCAACCGATGGATGGGCCTCACGAATCATCACAACAAAGTCGTCAGATTAATACTCGCCGTAACCTGGTCGGAGTTGGTGAATTGAAACACACAAAAATTATCAGCAAGTCTACTCCGAAAGTTGACGATCAAAGCCAGAAGATGGATACAACTTGCAATCTTAACTCGGATTGTGACTGTCACTGTCAATTTAATGTCAGAAAGGCATCGAAAAGAAAATCAGGGCATGGTGGGCCTCATGCACTTCAAACCTCCAGACGTTCAGATGGTGGTAAATCTGGGCACAGCGATCGAATCCGTATTCATATGCAATGCACCAAAACAACCGAAGATCAAGTGTGTGGAATTTTCACACACCTCCAAGATCAAGTATGTGAGTTTGTCACGCAACTCCAGCCAGAGCTGGATGTAGAGGCAGCTGTGTACATCTTGGACCAGATCGAGGCACCGAGAGAGGCGCATGCTCAAACCAGTATCTCGTCACAGGGAAGAGCACAGCGACAGTTCCACGATCACGAATATGGAGTTTACATGGAATAAGAACAGAGGTATCGGACAAATTGGTCTCCACGATCACGAGCATAAAGTATACATGACAAGAGTAGGGAGCAAGGAGACAAATTGCGTTATACAGAATGGAATTGAAAGGTGTAAGACAAATTCTCCATCTAGCAGTCATACTACTACGCTCTGTTTTGTGGTACGGTAGTCTGACCACCACCTCGCAGGTGAAAAGCATTTGTTACAGATTCATTGCATTGGGTCGGTAGTAGACACGATATCTAGGGCAGTACAGGAACCTTCAGCGAAAAAATGGAGGATTTGCAACTATTTGCAATTTTGAAGTAGGCGCTGATGCTGTGCATGGTCAGTGAACGTTCTTCAACCGCATAAGTTATTTTCTGTTACCAAAATTACTAAAATTCTGTCGGTGTGTGTAAGTGTACACATGTTAGCTGATAAGATTATAGATCAAGCGCGACGTGTAAATTCAATGATTCAGCTATATTGTGACCAGTGGATGCATAGAAAACTCTCGGCAGTATATTGAAAAAAAATGCCTCAAAGCACAAGAAAAATTTGCTCAAGATACTGAGCTAGTGCTACTTGTACAGCAGAGCTTCGTCGTCTTCGTACGACGAGCGAGTCATATCACAGTTTACTCTTCTTTTTAGCTAAACTTCACGAATTTCAGCAATGCTAGCTTCGTGACCGATTTGGCGAATAATTTAAACATACAGTAAGGGAAAAGCAGTTCTCCCCATTACGAACAAGGCTAAGTAATAAGTACAGTTTCCTAATCTTCCAATTCCAGCGGCTCCCTGTTATTAATCAGAAGTTTCACAGCAAAAGCGCCACCCATGTACAGACCAATTAGTGGGCCGGCCAGTAAACATTGCGTCAAGGGGTCGGTTGAAGGAGTCAAGACAGCTGCAGCAACGACAGCTCCTACAACAACATATCTCCACACGGAGAGCATTTGGTCCCCTGATACCAGCCCTGTCTGGCCCAGTAGTAGTTGTATGATGGGCACCTGCACAGATCAAACAATCAGCCAAGCTCAACTTTTGAGGCACAAAGCATGCCAAAATAGTGATTCTTGCTCCAAGTCGAAACCCTCACAGAGCTCAGATTGATAAGACTTGCTTTCACAATCCAGTTCACTATCGAAGTGCACTAGAACAATAACATATAGGTATTTAAGAGCTCAGTTGACCTGAATATTTTTGTGACCAGAAAATACAAAGAAGAATGTGGTGATGCTGGCAGGGGTACGGACTGACCTGGAAAGACAGCCCAGTACTGAACATGAGCACTAACACAAACTCGAAGTATTGGTCGATAGACCAAAGCGATTCAACGACCCCTTCTGCGTAGCTGACGAAGAAGTTGAGAGCTGCAGGGGTGAGAATTGCATAGGAGAATGCCAAGCCTGCATAAAATAAGAAGGAGGATCCGAACACAACAGGGCCAAGCAACTTCCTCTCGCTTCGAGTTAAACCAGGGACCACAAACGCTATAATTTCGTATAATATTACGGGGCTGCCGAGGAGAAGACCGCAGTAACCGGACACCTGCAGTACAGAGAGGTACACGTTAATGCCCAAAGAATCGGGCACAATTGAGCTCAAAAAGCTCGATCAATTATGAAATCTTGCAAGGATGGAATCATAGGGCGTTGTACCTTGAGAGTGGTGAAGAAGTATTCGCCAGGGGAGAGCGCCAAAAATCGAACGCCGAGGGAATAAACAGGCTTTTCAAGGAGCACAATGAGATCCTTCGCAAAAACAAAACATCCGGCTATGGCCACTCCAACTGCTACAACCGAAATCAGAAGTCGGTCTCTGAGTTCTTCTAAATGGTCAAAAATGGTCATTTCTTTGTCGTCGGGGAGCTCCTCTTCTGGAGGATAGAGCCATTTCGATAAACCATTCTCTTCAGACATTGGCTCTTCATTCACCTCTTCTAACTCTTCTGCTTGCCGTTCCTCAGATTGCACCGCAGTCCCTGCAAAAACGAATTCAGAATATGAGTTCCTAATACAGAAGGACAAACGTGCCATGCCAAACAAAAACTTCTGTGCTTCAGTTGGAGATTCACAGAAAATAAGATCAGCTTGCATAATCACCTAATACAGAAAGCCAAAGTACTTGATACGATCACTCAAGGTAAGAAAATTGCGTCGAGAACATTGAAAGAATTTCTTTAGGAGTTCTGATGAGCAACATTTCTCAAGCTTGGTTCCATGACCATAAGAAATACTTCTACAAACTGGCTACCGGTCCTACTTTCAACAAACAACAACCCTCACGACCTGAAATATAATAGCAGGTTTGACACAAAAAGTATCATTACTTACCCATTCCTAGCTTCTGAACCATGATATCCTTTCACGAAGGAGCACGACATGGAAACACTTTCGTCAACTCAGAAGAACCATCCAGTAAGATCCTATACATTACCATTGAAAACTAAAAATCAACAGCTTAAACCTTGGAAATTCCAGCAGCAACAAGGTTTCTAGTCTAGAAAGGCGGCCACGTAAGGGCGAAAAACTCAGAACCCTACGCCCCGAGCAGCTGCACATTTTCAAAACCAGGTCTAATGTTTCCGCTTCGCAAAAGTGAATCATGCAATTGACAACCTAACATTCATTCTCAGGATCAATCGTACAGTACTTCTTACTCGTCTTGATTTGCTTCATATACTTGGGATGCGCAGCAATTCTAGCGAGGGCGCTGTCAACCGCGGCGAAACCTAATTGCCCTTGAATTCTCTTCATTGCGTGAATTCGCAGAGGACCCATGACCATAGTCGAAGCAGGAGCAGAGACATTCACATGCGACAACTTGGGGCCGCTTCCAACAGACTTCAGTGACATCGTCGAACCCAGCGATGCGGTATTCATGGCTGCCATGGCCGCCATGGCCGCCACAGTTTCAAAATCTTCTCACACACTCCCAATTCAAATGCGCAATCACAATCTCCCCTCAATTCTGCGACAAGCAGCTGCGAGTACGCGCGGTCATCCCCTCTGCCTCAGATAAGGGGCCACTGGACCTCACCCGGCGTTTCCACGGGCCGGTCCAGCAATGTGACTTCCCGGGACTCGCTGATCGTTCTGGGCCTCTGGTTCGGGGCCAGGGTCTTCTTCCAACTGGACTCCCTTAGAATTGGAGAATGAGGCTCCCCCTTGGGACCCGCCCATGAAAAATATCTGGGAATCCCCTCTCTTCCCTCTCTTTTCTCCTTTCTTGCAACTCAAGAAATTCTCTGGAATCTTCTCCAAAGTTAGAGAACGCTAATTTAGGGTTTGTAGTGCATTTTTTCGCCAAGCAAACTCATGGAGATGATGTAGCAAAATTTCAAAGAATAATTTCAAGTTTAAGAGGCGCTTCTGAACCTTGGATACAATGCTCTCTCTACAAATTATTGCTACGTTTGCCTTTAATTAATAAAAATAATGTATTTTAATTTTTTTAATTTTTTAATTTTTTTTATATGAATTATGTCAAGGACAAGAGTTATAAGAAATGTAAGGAAGACAAGAATAAGGTATCAGATTATAAAAAAAGAAAAAAAAGATATGAGATTAGAAACAAGATAACATTTGGGTTGTTCTAAATCTTCTATTGGCAAGAGTGACATATTCCTTGTTTTATCCTTATATTTATATTTTGGCAATTAGATTTTATCAAAATTATTTTTGAAAAAGATTCTAAGAATAATGAAATATCTTACAAGTATACAAAACCTTCCATTGAAACCTCAAGAAGACATATATAATCACATGTTGAATAAACTAAATCATATAAATCATCTTTTATTTAATAATATGTATTATTTTTTTAATTTAACTTATTTTGGTACTATATGAATTTATGTGATTTAAATAAATGTGATTGGTTTTTATTGGTTACATATTTAATAGTAGAGAAATGAATCTAGAGGTCATTTTTACTTTTTATGGTAGTTAGGATGGGTAGGTCAATTTAGTAAAATCTTGGGTCTATTTAACATTCCTCTAAATACAAGTATGAATATATACAAATTGTGCATTGTTTCTTCATGTTTCAAACTCATCAAGGATTTGCAATGAATAGTATTTTAAAAAATAAAAATAAAAATATGGACTCAAAGGAGACATCATTTAAGAAAATGAAATACTAAATATATTTTTTCAATTATTTTCTAATGACTAGGAATACCAATTAGTTCATTCAATAAATCGAGAAATGGGTATGGCAAAAATGTTTCAGAAATAAGCGTTACATTTTTCACACTTTTATTTCAATGTGTAATTTCTATAACATTTCATATTTGTCTTTACTGAGGATGAATGAAGTTTGCAGAACCACTGAGGATGAACGAAGCTTTCAGGATGAATGAAGTTTCAGGAACCAATGGAGATGAATGAATAGCTGTGATGAAGGGCGAAGAAGAAGAAGGAATAGACGGCACTTTGGAGTGCCGCTAGACGGGCTTTCGCAAGCAGCTGGGAAAGTGGGGCAGCGATCTCCAACTCCAACGGAGCCGATTCCGATTTTCCGTTTGCAGCCTTCGAAGGGAATTAATTCCAACAACTTTGTTGAGCACATAGTGAAAGGGATTCATTTTGCACAGAGGTGCTTTTGTCATATATATATATATATATATATATATTCATGGATGGTTTGTAAGAAGCATAGTGAAATCACTTTCTTCTTTTTTGTGCCCCCTGCGATTCAATCCGATTCAACAACATTTCGTGTTACTGTTTTCTGAATAGAACGGCAGTGTCGACGATGGAGTGTGGATAATGCTTCTCCTGACCTTGAGGACTTTGGAAAGTACGTTGACCCTCGATGCAATATGGATGCTGGAAAAGGACCTGAGTCTGGCCAGTGGCGTTCAGTTTCATTCGGAATCTAGCAATCCCCATTGATCCACAATTAGGTCGTTTGCAAAACACCTTCGGATGTACTTTTCCCATCCAGGTTCCATCCGTCGGCGATTCCTGCACCATCTTTGAGACGAACCGGAGGTTTGATAGGCCTACTTATAGATGCTGTAGGCTGATCCGGTGGGTACTATTTGCGGCTCTAATGCCAGGTGATCCCGGGCTGGACACCGACTCAGCGGCGCCCTTCTCTCGACTACACATGACGATGCCGGTCTACAGCCGCTGTTGGAAGCGTCTGGTCCGACGCAGGAAGGAGCGGAGGAGCTCCATGAGAACTAAGAATAGACCCAGGTTTCGCTGAAGAAGACCGCCCTCGTAGTGCTCCCTGGTACCCTGACTATATCTGATACTCACACATGAGTCGGCGAAATAGCCGGCTGCCTACTTCATGACTTGAAGAACATCAATCACCGCAGCCTCCGTCAGTGCATTACAATCGAGTTTTGGCGATCTGTTGAGGTTAATAGCGCGGCTCCTAACTGTGTAGCAGATCGGGTTGCTGAAATATAATCACTGGCGCCTTGCGTTTGCAGGTCCACTGTTGCTTTCAGTTCCGTTCCAAGTGATACTTGTTTAGCGCCTCGTCCGTGCTGATTGGCAAAAGTTGAATCCGTGGTAACAGCCACGAAAGGATACAGCAGAGTAGAAGTGAGTGACGGGTGCGTGCTTGCTCATTTATAAACATTCAGCGACTGTGTTTGCGGGTTTTTGGATGGTTGGTTGCGGAAACTTTATCGCAAGTTGACACGCATTGCAGGTGTGTCTCGGAATACTGGGGACTACATGAGTGGTCGAACATTTTTCTCAGATTATAGAGACGGACTTGCAGTTTGGAGATGTCTTTGCATTGCAGCGTTTTTGTTCCTTTGTCAAAAAAGAATCCGCACCACCTAATGTCTACCGTTTCTGGTGTAAATAAATTTTGTTTCCAAAGGATACTTCGTCAAACTTAGAAAAAGAGTGGAGAAATTTGTTGTCAGAAAACACGCACCATAATATTGCTCCCCATCGAGTCTTTGTAGAGGTCTAGAGAGTCAGGTTTAAAAGTTCCACCTTTTTATCACTGCTGGTGATGTTTATGTCTCTATTTCTTGATTGAGCAGCGGATGAGGAAGACTGCTTAGAGGTCGCGAAGGAACCGACAGCGGGATCCAAGATGGTGTGGAACAGCAGAGAGGATGAGATAGCGTTGTATGGAAGCGGCTCTTTGGAGTCTTCGAAAACTTCCACGAGACGCAAATGTACCGTTACTTTCGTAGTGCTACTCCTGGCCGGCATCTTGCTTGCCATCATTGTGCCAGTGACGCTCCATGCGCGGAATAGCAGCGATGACTCCGTTCCTGCCCAGCAGGCTGGACCCCCGGCTGGTGTGACGACTGCTTGCTCAGCAACTCAGTATCCAGACACCTGTAGTAATACACTGCAGAATTCCACTCATTCCGATGCGAGGATTTTCACTTCGACCACCGTGGCTGCGGCTTCGACAGGCGTAGACGAGACGCGCTTGAGTATCAAGAATTCTCAGACGCCTGAAAACGCACCAGCTGTGGAGGTTTGCCTAGATACTTTGACCTCTGCGTCTGCGGAGCTTGAAGTTGTGCTGAAAGATTTAAACACGACGGATAAGGCCGTTCTCAATGCCACGTTCGACGACATCAAGACGCGCCTCACGGCCGCTATGGAGTTCCATACGACATGTTTGGATGCATTGGAGGAGGTTGGAGGGCCGATTAGTCCTTCTGTGCAAGCAGTCAGCAAGAAGTCAACGCATTCTCTGCATTCGGAGACGATTTCCTCGCATGGGCTAAATCCTTTGGTATGGATCTCACGCAATTTAATCGTATGGATCTCACGCAATTTAATCGCCGGGGGCGTCGGCTGCTTCATGATGACTTGTACTCTACTGGCCACGAGCAGGACACCGTCGAAACTTTTCCGCTGTGGGTAGGCATGGAGCAACGGCGCCACCTTCTCCAAACCGTGCCTGCAAACGGTACCTACAACGTAGGAAGATCATGGACGCAGTGAAAAATGCGCCGATCAAGAGCTCGTCGCCTTACGTGATCTACATCAAGTCCGGCATTTACAACGTGATCTACATCAAGTCCGGCATTTACAAGGAGCAGGTCAAAATTAATTCTTCCTTGACCAACATCATGCTTCTTGGAGCCTCAGTGTTGCTCTAACGAAGAGCATGACAACCTTCCTTTCCCCGACGCTAAGTAAGCATTTTTCAATCGTGATCTCGCTATATCTGCACTGCCATGGGTAGGATACTGAACTGAATCAATGACTCTTCATGTATCTTGGTGTGTTGCAGTCGTCGAAGGACAAGGATTCAAGGCAAAAGGTATCCAGGTACGCAACACGGCAGGACCCGCTGGCCATCAAGCTGTCGCGTTGCGCGTGAGTGCCGACAAATCATCATTTTACCAATGCACCTTCGACAGCTTCCAAGATACACTCTACGTTCACAATTACCGCCAATTTTACCGAGACTGCACCATCAAGGGCACCATCGACTACATCTTCGGTAATGCCTGGGCGGTGTTCCAGAACTGCCGACTCACAGCGAAAAAGTCCACAATCGTGGGCCAAGTTAATGTCTACACGGCGCAGGGCAAGACGGATCGTGGCCAGACCACGGGCATTTCGTTTCAGAGCTGTACGTTCGACGCCACTACCGATCTTGCCAGAAACTCCAAAGCATTCCCAACATATCTCGGCCGACCCTGGAAGGCCTACGCTACCACGGTCCTGTTACGGTCCCGAATCCTGGCCCATGTCCGTCCCCAGGGCTGGCTTCCATGGAACGCTTCCAACTTCGGCTTGCGGACCTCCTATTTCGCCGAGTACCAGAGCTCCGGCCCCGGCGCTCTTCCAAGCTCCCGAGTAGCCTGGTCGAAGCAGATCAAAACTGTTACTGATGCCAACAAATACCAAGCCTCTGTGTTCATCCAAGGTAATTCATGGGTAAAGGCGACGAATTTCCCTTACACCGGCGCTCTGTTTACATAACTCCCAAACTCGTCGTCCTCGATCATGGCACAATCAGCTGTGTCTGTTTGGCGCAGTCGTAGCTCCGGTGATTGTTTACCGACACCAGTCGGTGTCTAGACAAGATTCATACAACAAACCTTCATCTAGTGACCAAACCGATGACTGATCGTGAGATTCGGCAGATGGGTGCCGTAAACAGACCAATTGCTTTTGTGTTGTTGACAATCGTCGAATTCATTCAGGGTAGGTCAAGATCGTTTTGCGATCGATCATTCTTTTTCGTGGTATCAATAAGAAACTGTAAATACATTCGTGCATGCATCGAAGATGCGTCTGGATTCCGGCGTGCTCCTCCTGATTCTGTCGAAGGATTCAGCTTCTTATTGATCGTGTCGATCTGGTGTTTATTGTCCAGGGAATTGTTGTGCTTGTGTTGTAAGCATGCCATAATTTTATTACCGTCCAGTTGTTGAGGAGAATAATTCTTTCCTCGGAAACATCCAGATGTGCAAGATAGCGAGGTCAATGGTCACTTGGCATCAATTAAAGATGTTAGATTCTTTGTTTAAATCTGCCAAGTTTTTATTATTTTCATTCTTACTTTTCTACTGTGGATTGGTGAAATGTAGTTTGTTGTTTCAAAACAATAATTCTGAATACAAATATATTGGCCTGTTCCTAAGCAGCTTGGGTATTTTAATTTTTTCTTTTTTATTTGAACATGATTTATGGATTAATTCAATTTTCTATATTGAGTTAATTTTAATGCAAGTAATTAAAAGCAATTTTACTACAACAAAATAAAAATAAAATCAATAAATCAACCAATCATTTTTCCATCATACTTAATACTTGTTTTTAGAAAATCTAATATTTTAATGATGTGCATATTTTTTATAATTTATAAATTTTTGAAAGATTTTTTCTTTTATTATTTTCTTTTAAATTGTTTTTAAAAACCAAAACAACAAGGTGAATTTATAGAATAAAAGAAAAATTCAAGATCATTCAATGCATAAAACTTTTATGATTACAATTTCAAAGATATATCATTTATTAAAAGAATGCGTGTATATATATATATATATATATATATATACATACACACACATGGTATTTAAAAATATATATATTAGAAAAGTCAACACATAGCAATGTATATGATACAATATAAGTAATATTTAACTTGATAAAAAAAATCAAATATACATAAATTTATTTTAAAGTATAGTTAAAAAAAAGTTCATTTTTAATCTCAACTAAATAACAAAGGTATCACCTAAATTGATGTTTTTATATCCATACATATGTGTCCTAATTGTGTTTATAATCTTTCTAAAAATTAAGTGGTGAAATAATAACACAACTAAGATATTATGCCTAATAGAGTAAAAATATATATTTTGGATTGTAAATAATAATAAAAATATAATTTTTATTTAAAAAAATTAAATAATATATTGAGATAATAAGTATTTTAAAATATTATTAAGATCCAAAAATTGAAACAAAAAAAATATTTTAACATTTGATACATGTAACATTTATTAATTTGAGTAAGCATAGTTAATATTAATATATTTTTTACTAATACAAAAACACAATTTTTACTACTAATAGTGGTACTACATAACTACAACTCAACTATGGAAGTATTTGAAATAAGATTGAAGTAGAACATAATGGCTTACATGCCAAGAATAAGACTAAGCAAAATTAATACTTTATTATTGCAAATACAGACTAGATATTTTATTTTATTTTATTTTATTTATTTTTTTCCATTCTATTAGATAATGAGATAATTTATACAAATTATGATAACTTGTTTGCAATAAAAAGCTTAATGAATTTTTCTTAATCCTAACCTTAACAAGAATGACATCATCACAAAGTAGAAGAGCAAGTTGGATATCACAAATACCTCTTGTACTATACTTATCTTTTTTTTTAATAGCTCAATATCATCTTATTCCATGTGAGGTTCTTGAATATTTACAAGGTGTTGTTGATAACCTATTATTAGTAAGATTAAGTATGTTATTTAAATTACTATTTTAATATATTATATTACTATAGAAGGATCAGTTCTAAGATATTTCAATGTGTACATCTCCAGATTTATTTATTTTTTGCAATATGGCTTGTTAGGATGGTTATTTGGAGTATTTATAAGCCACTCTTTTATTTGGTATTTTTTTGGTTAATTTCATTTGTAATGCTCAAAGACCATTAAAGCAACAATGATAGTATTTCAATTAGAACAATTCTTTGTTTGGTGGTATAGTTGATGAGATCCTCAAAGGTAGGAGTTTCATTAAAGGTGAATTCTCCAAACTTTTATGCCATACATTGTGGATACAAGGTATGAATCTTTACACCATAGTTGGAGTATATAGAGCATATTTATGATTATAAAGGTGCAAAGTACAAGAGTTTTAGAATCCGAAAAAGAACAAAGGATTTTTTGCATTAAGAAATTAAATCAATCTAGCTTTAGGTTTTTAAGGTCGAATTATATTTTTGTTTATTTATGTTGATACTTTCTTCAATCTAGCTATTTTTTTGTTTCCAAAAAAATCAACAAGGTCTAATATCTTTTTGAATATATCTACTTATTTACAATAAGTGGGAATATAATTTATTTCAATTGTAATGTCTTAATTCTTGTCTCTAATTTAGTCGTGATCTAATTCAATATGCTTTGTTTTCTAATGCATAACTAGATTCTAAACTAATATAATATTACTCATATTAATGCTTAGTAATAGTATAAGACTATTGTCATTCAAATGTAGTTCTTTGAGTAACCTACAAAAATAGATGTTATTATAGAAAACTTTAGAAAGAACTTAATACTTGGCCTTTATTGAAAAGAGTGCAATTGATGACTGGAGTTTATTTGAATATATTATTGATACAAATTCTAGTTTGTAAAGAACTCTTAATGTAAATTTGCAAGAATTGACATCCCCTGTCAAATTTTATTGACAAATATGAATAAACCTCCCTTATCACTAATAGGATAGAGTATCTAGTAGTTTAATATACCTTTGAGGTACCATATAATTTTTTTTGTAGCAACCAAATGTAAAAGTTGAAGATTTTTTATATACCTTGATACCTTGTCAATTACAAATTTTATGTTCCAATGGCTGATAGTCAGATAGAGTAACTCTCTAACAAGACTTTGATTTAAAATTTTTATCAACTGCAAGTATTTTAGTTTTATACCATAATTTGGATATTGATGACAGTTTGCAATAAGTCAATTCAAATCTATGTAACAGAGTTTGAATATAATGTCTTGGATAGAAGTAAATGCCTTTGATATTATGTTGTAATTTTACATCTTCAAGTTTTGTTATTTTAAGGGTGTTTATCAACTTATCTTTGAGTTTTTAAATATGAATTGATGATACAAATTGATTATACTCCATTTGACTATATGTGCAAAGATTTTGAAGAAAATAATACCTTTTTTTATTTGTATTTCCAAGCAATTATTCTAACTTTAAATTTTTCAATGTTTTTACTAGATTTTGGCTTTGTTTTGAAGATCTACTTTATTGATATTAAAAAAAAAAAAAAAAAAAAAAAAAATCCTTAGATAAGTCTACTAAAATTCAAGTGTTAATTTTTTATATAAATTCTACCTCTAGTCTAATTGATTCTTATTATCTAATATGTTAAATTTTCTTTTCATAGTTTTTAGACTCAATGTTTGATTTTATTTTAAGCATATAATTATTTTTATATCTAGTATTTCATTTTCTATTTCAAATAGAATACATTCATTGATCAACTTGATCTAGAAGTATTACTTAAAAAGTATACATAGACGTGTCTCTTGAAACAAAAAAAAAATGATTCACTTATTAATAGCAACAAAGAAATATCTAGGTTTTTGTCTTTTTTAAGTTTAAGATATTTAATTTTAGAAGCTTGATTATTTATTAATTTATTTGTAGAATCAAGTGAATTCTTAGATATTATATCAACTTCTAAAAATAATTCAAAATCGTTAAGTGGCATTTTACATTATCAATTCTAATAAATATTTTATCAAGTATTATATTACAACTAATACATATCTTACAATGTAAAGGATCAAATATTTTGTAAGCTTTTATTTGATCATCATAATCTAAGAATATGTACTTAATAATTTTATTTTAAAATTTTGATCTATTTTCTTTTGAAATATATCGATGAACAATCAATTTAAAGATTTGCAAGTAATTTACATGTGGTTTGGTTTTGTTATAAAGTTATTTTGGATTAGCTCTATTGGAATTTAGATTACTTAAGTAGTTGGCTATATAGATAGCTATAATCAATAGATAAGCAAAAAAATAATAGAAAATTAGTATTAAAGGTATTTTTTCTATTATTATTCTATTTTAATATTTATAGATTCTATTTTATTGTAGAATAAAAGCCATAAAAGGTATCTTCTTATTTTGTGATTAATAAAGAAATTATTGAATTTATATGTCAAGTATTTTCTACCTTTATTTGTTCTTAAGTTTTTTATTTATTTATTTTTTCTTTCTACTTGTAATTTGAATTTTCTACATTTTCTAAAGATTTTTTTTTTACTTTGTATAAAATAGATTCAACTTTTGTAAGAGTGGTCATTGGTAAATAAAAAAAAGTATTTAGTGCCTCTCAAGGATGGTGTTTCTATAGGTTCTAGTAAATCTAAGTAAATGAGTTGAAATACCTTTTCAACATGGTGCAATGAAGTTTTTAGAAATTTCTCCTAATGTTATTGTCTTACTACCCAATCTTTGTAGGTTTTTAAAATTGTATTGAATAATGACAAGTTTTTGCACCCAATGAACTTGTGATAAATATTAAAAGTCAGTACAATATAAATGACTATATCTTTTGTGCCATAATTGTACATTTTTTTTTAGTATAATTGAGTTTATTTAAAAGATTCCAAAATCTATTATTTTTTTATAGAATTAATAGAATCTATTTTATTTATTTTTTATTCTAATAGCTATCAATTTATTTTTATATTCTTTATCTAATATCAAAGACTATTTGTTTCTAAACATAATTAATTTTCCATTATCTTTCAAAAATCCTATTGATATTAACTTATAGTTTAATACTTGCATGTACAAAAAATTATACAAGTTTACTGCTTAAGATATTGAAGTTATATTTGTGAATCCAATGCCTTCAATCTTGAAGAATTTTTTATTAGTAGTCTTTATTTTTTTTTATGAAGTTTAACAATCTATCATTTGGAAGTTCAAGATTTTTCTAGTAAAATGATTGCTAGCTTCTAAATCAATATATCAGTTTTTGTTTTGATAGTCAATAAAATTGACTTTGGCTGTTGTATCAATATAACTTCTATAATTATATCTTTCTATATAATTAAAGTGAGAATTATAATATTATTTTTTTAGAAAATTTTATATAGTATAATTTAGTCATTTGCATATGTAACAATAATATGATTGATGTATATCCATTTGTTGATCTAAGTAGTTAAGACATGGATAATTATGTTCTTTCTCCAAAGTAGCTTAATAGTCCTCTTGACTTAATTTGGGGTTGATTGATCATGTGAGGT